GTGATCTTTTAGATTTAAATCTTGGAAATAATTCTAATAAAGATGTGGTTGGAACATCAGTTAATGCAAACTAAATAAGATTAGATTAATAAATATAAATAAGAATATTATTATTTGTATTAACCTGTGAACCAAGACCAAGTGCTAATAACATTAAAAAGAATAGAATTGAAAATATTGCACTAGCTGGCATATGTGAAATAGCTTCAGGATATGTTATAAATGCTAAACCAGGACCAGATGATTGAGCATATTTTTCAACGGGTTCTTTTAATTCTGTCGCCAAATATCCTATTGTTGCAACTACAGCAAAACCAGCAAATACTTCAGTTAGACAATCACATGATACAACTATACACATTTGTCTGAAAAATAAAAAGCAAATTTTACTGAAAGTTAATAATATAATTGATTAACCGAAAGAAATTATTCTTGAATTTATTTGATGCTGAATATGCCATTAATGAACCAAAACTGAGACCAAGTGAAAAGAATACTTGAGAAGCAGCTGCTTGCCAAGTCTGAAATAAAAAATAAAATAAGGTTTAGTTTGATTTAAAACTATGTTTACCTCAAATTTTGCAACAAGGTCCCACCTTGGAATAACATAAAATTTAATTCCTTCAACAGCTCCTTTCAACAATGAACTTTGAATAATTAATATAAGAAGTACAATGTATGGAACAATAGCTGTAAAATAAGCTATCTAAAAAAATAGATATTTATATAAATAAAGGAAAAGGTTAGAGAAATAAAAGGGACTAATCAATGAAAAAGAAGGAATAGGAGGGGCAGGAGGATACTAGACAAAAAAGAGGAGAAGGAGAAGGAGAAGCATCAACCATTTACGATTAAGTGTTTTTTTTTTCTTTGTATGATGATGATGATGATGCTGCTGTCATTTTTACTAAAATAAATTATATGATCTAGATATTTTTTTATTTTTATTGGTTTTACTTTGTTGATCAAATAATTTTATCAGTAACTTATTGTATCGTTCTTGTTTAAGATAGTGTTTGTCAATGTCACTTCTTAATAAATCGAGCTTTTTTTTTTGATTGAGTATAGCTGTATTTCTTATGTTGCATTCATGTATTTTCTCGATCTAAACAACACAAAAACTATTTCTAGTTGTTTAAAATATTTATTTTATTACTTGTAGTTTGATATCAACTACATTTAATTGATCCGTAATTATTTTCAATTGAGAATTCGTTTGATTACGGGTTACCCAGGTCGAACAATCCGGCACGGAAACGACCGGTTCTTTGGTATTCAGGAGATTTCATGGACACTGCATCAGGAATCATTGTCCTGGGTAATTGATCCATAATTTAAGTAATAATACGTCTGCAAGATTAGCGAAAATGTATCGACACTATTTAGGCACGTATATATATATATATATTTTTCTCTTTAGCCATATCCTCTCTCTCATGCACTGATCGGATCTTTTTCTGTCCTTTTTTTCTTTTAGACGTCTTTATTATGGTGCATCGAGATTAAAATTTTGACATAACGCATACACTCGAGGAAGTCTATATACATGTCATAAGACACATAAACTTTAAACTGAATTCATTTTTAAACATGCATAATATAATACCTGTTATTAATAAAAGAATTTAGACAAACTTCGGTTTTAAATACGTACGATAATACACAATCTGTTTAATAAACTAATGTTCACATAGTAACTTTAAAAAAGTGATTATCAGCACAAATAAACTTTCAATGATCTCACAGACATGTCCTCAAATAAATTTCAAATGAATCAACAGTTATCTCATCACATACATTTTGAGTAAATCCGTAGTATTCTTTTCGAAATAAATTTACTTAAATTGATAATCAAGGGTGTACCGAGGTGTCGAGAATAAGGAGAGAGGGGGCGCAGCACGAATTTTTGTTGAAATTTAGCACGGCTATTGTCATCTCATGAAATAATCGGTACTATCCATAAGTTAATTTAGTATTATAATTATTCTTTGTCAACGCGAGTTCGAAATGCCAATAAATACCTATGATTTCTGAATTAAAACTTCAGAAAAGCGCATGTTTTCATTATCACAATTAAAAATGTTTACAATAATCAATTTAAAAATTGAGAAAATTTATTGAATTCAGGTTAAAATCGTGCTGTTGTAATAGATTTTAACTACAGAAAAATTAATTTTAATCTAATCTCCAGCCATTCTTTTGTATAGATGCATGTTCGATTCAGATGGGAAGCAAAAAAATACAAATGTATACATCACAGCGTTTGTCAGAACTCCAGCGAAAAGAACTATCTACTTGCAAGATAATAAACACTTTTGAAAGCATTAAATTTTAATGGGCAAAGCCTTTATAAGAAAAATTATAATGGATAAATCTGTAAATGAAATGGTTAATTGTCCATTTGCTTCTCTCCTGGCTGCGCCACTGCTATCTAGCGATGCATATGCTATCGAATCCTATTGTGCACAGTTAGCGTCATCTATAGACTCCCTTCCCTTTTTTTATGACCTAGTCCGATAAGGTTTATTTTCTGAAATAAAATGTAATGAAAGCATAAAAGAATAGTCAAACGACTAGAACTCGCTATAGGTTCCTACTCAGAATCGCTCATGTCTTCGTATTTCATCTTCCGTCTCGCTGAGAGATTCTTGTCTGCGTCGTTTAAGAGTTCGAAGAATTAACTCAAGATGTTCGACATTCTCACTGTCAGGCGTCGAAAGGTTGATCTCATATCCTCATCTTAAGTAAAAAAAACTTTTTTCTATTTTTTCTTTTTGCAACCATTCATTTCGAACTCGGAAGCATATATTTATTAATCTAGTCGTACTGATAGAGCTGAAAAATTAAATTCTAAAATTTCTTTTAAATTTAAGCATTTTTATATCAATCTTGTAGATCTCTTGATCGGTTATGTATATTACAGAAAATATGAAGAATGCACGAATTTATGTAAACAAACGTACGGGTCACATTTTTCTCATTGCTTTATGTTTATCTTTATTTTTTAATTTTTTAGATCTAACCGTGCGGTATTGTTGCTTTGGTTAGTATTGCTTTGTTTGGTATTGCTTTCGTTGGTGTCACTTTGGTTGGTGTCACTTTGATGATCTGATTGGCTGCGAACACAAAAGATATAGGCCAAAAACAAATGGTATGATTTTTTCTTTATTCTTCTTCATTTCTGCTATATCTCTCATTGTTATATCGTGTCTTTTGAGCAGAAAAACAAGCAGGGATGGCTATAATGGGAGAGGTATTGATAATATAATAGGAGTAGCATTTATTTAAATATCAATATATATAAAAATATTTTTTTTATTTCTTTAGAACGCCGTTTTATAGCCGTTTCAGATGGTCTGAATGATTGTATTGGGTATTTTGCAAGATATGGGTCAAAAAGAATGGTACGTTTTTTCCTTTTCTTCTTTATATTCGCCATGTATCATTGCTATATCGTGTCTATTGAGAAGAAAACAAGTAGAGATGACTATAATGAGAGAGGTATTGACAATGGAATAGGAGCATGATTTATTTAAATATAAATATATATATATATATAAATATATTTTTTTGTTGTTTAGGATCCTGCCGAAACAAAAAGAATTAAGACGTTTCTGAGCGGGGTCGTCGTCAATATCACAGCAGATCAACTAAATGTAAACATAGCTTCAATTCATCGTATAACCCGCATGCTTTTTGAACTTTGTAACGTATTGAATATGGTAAGCTTCAAAAACTTTTTTCAATGAAATATCATTAAGTTATTTTTGATTTTGTTATTATAGGATATGGACAATGTGCTAACTCATGTAACATTAACTGGAGGAGGTATGGGTAATATTACTTATAACACATTTGACGAAGCTGTGAATGCAATATATAGAGTAACCCGGGACGATAATTCCTGACGCACTGTTCCATCAGTTTCCAGAGAAAACCCTCAGGAAACTGGCAGTTTCTGATCGGAACTCGTTGAAAAAAGTTAGAAATCCGGTGCAAGGATCCGGCGACCGAATCCGGTTGCCGATTTTGACAGGTTCCTGTGGATTCCGAACAGAACCGAATTCATCGGAATATCGCGAAACCGGCTGTTTCCGTGCCGGATTGTTCGACCTGGGTAGCCCGTAATCAAACGGATTCTCAATCGAAAAAAATTATGGATCAATTAAATGTTGTTGATATCAAGCAAGAAATCATAAAATGTTTTAAACAATTAGAAATAGTTTTTGCTGTTTATATCGAGGATACACATCTAAAGAATAACAGAAATACGAATGCAATGGTTCAAAAACAACAACAAGTCGTGCAACTTATAGGAGAAATTGGAGACCATTTTATACAACAAGCAGATTATAATCAACAATTATTAAATTTATACACACAAAGAAGTAAAAAAATTCAAATTAATAAAAAACTTATACATTATTTTATTTATTTTTAGATCAAGCAACAAAACCAAAAGAATAACAAAAATAATATAATGTTTTAATAAACTTAATTTATAAGATCTTTTTTAAGTTTATTAAATAAACAA